CCAGTGGAATGCCACTTGGCGATCAAAAAGAATGAAATCTTGCCATTTGCAATGATGTGGATGGAGCTAGAGTGTACATTATTCTAAGCAAAATAAGTCAGTCAGAGAAAGGCAAATACCATATGATTTCACTCATGTGCAATTTAAGAAATAAAACAAACAAGCAAAGGGAAAAAAAAAATAGAGTCAACCCAAGAAACAGACTTTACTATAGGGAACAAACTGATGGTTCCCAGAGGGGAGGTGGATGGGGAGATGGGTTGAACAGGTGATGGGCATTAAGGAGTGCACTTGTTGTCATGTGCACCAGGTGTTGTATGGAAGTGTTGAATCAATTCTACACCTGAAACTAATATTACACTATATGTTAACTGACTGGAATGAAAATAAAACTTAAAAAAAATGAAGTATCTGTCTCCATATATCTTACCAAAATGATCTTCGTGTTGCTGCCAAGCACAGTTCAGAGACTTGGAGGCCGTATGGTGCCAACGGATGGCTAATGGAAACAAGCTTTTGAGGTTGGGCTGTTGGAAGGCTGAGCATGTGACTCCTCTGCTCAGGAGGTTCTGGAGCCTGCCGTGTAGATGGGACAGCCTGCAGCACCACATGTTAGAAAATCTGACAGTGAGAAGAGAGAGTTAGTAACAGTATTAAATAACCTTTATGAAGCTGTAAGAATAACACTACAGATGTAACTATATGAAAGAATAGATTTAGTTATCTCAATTCAGGATTAAACAAAGGAAAAATTCTGAAAAGCTAAGCATAAGTGGTCTATAACCATTACTTCCATTTTCTCACTACATAGTCTTTTTGTATGTCTTGTAATCTTGCTTCTAACATACTATTTAACTGAAATGGTTCTTTAAAAATTCACTAATTAAACAAATTTTTTTAAATGTTTATTTATTTTTGAGAGAGAGAGACATAGTGCAAACGAGGGAAGGGCAGAGAGGGAGACACAGAATCTGAAGCAGGCTCCAGGCTCTTAGCTGCCAGCACAGAGCCTGATGTGGGGCTCGAAATCACAAGCCGCAAGATCATGACCTGAGCTGAAGTCTGACACTTAACCGACTGAGCCACCCAGGCACTCCCGAAATTCAGTAATTTTAACGTTACCACCACATAGAAGAATTGCTTTACAGGTCTAATCCTTTTGGCCCTCTCCACTTGTGACACTATTTATTGATCACTCTCACCTGACTTCTTGAAACTTTTTTTTCCCACTGATTATGCATGATTGTGGGCAAGTTACTTAAACTCTCAGTCACTCTGGTTTCCTGTTTTGTAAAATGAGGATAATAATAATAATACTTATTTAATTTGTCTAATATAAAGACTAAAGTACTTAGAATTGTGTCTGTCCCATATTATTATTATCATTATCATTTTTATAATGATTATTGTTAGGGATAAAATATATCTGTTGGTAAAACTACCTTGACAAATCTGCTTAGAATTGGTGACTCCCTGAGTGTCATGGTTTCAGAAAGATTAATAAAAAAACTTCATTTGCATAATACCTTTAAAAGAATTAATTTGTTCTGTGAGAAAAGAGGGAGAAAGCCATCCAACTACAGAGAAGCTGTATGGTGCTTGATGTGAACCTTTTCAATAACCCCTTAAGGTCACTAAACCCATAGAATGATTGCTTTCAGTGGTATGTGCATGTGTGTGTGTGTGTGTGTGTGTGTGTGTGTGTGTGTGTGTGTGTCTGTGTGTGTGGTGTAAGCTGAGGAAGGAACTGAATGTCACGTTGATGTGGGACGACATCAATGATAAACACAAAGGCCATAGCTATAGAGATGTAACTGCATATTCTGATGACTTGGGGTGATGACTTGGGCATATTCTGATGACAGGCTAGGAAATGAGGAACTAAAGTCAAATTTATTGATATTTTATGGGTGTAAGCAAGGAGCAGAGCATGGCAAGGCCTCTGCTGGTGTCTTGGTTACATTTATGTTCTCTACTGTCTCTTGTTTCTCAACCTCCTACCTACAGAGGCTGGCAAATTATAGTCCATGCCTAGTTTTATATGTCCCACAAGCTAAGAATGGATTTTATATTTTTAAAGGATTGTAGGGGTTCCCGGGTGGCTCAGTAACTTGAGCATCTGACTCTTGACTTCAGGTCAAGTCATGATAACAGGATCATGAAATCAAGCCCCATGTCAGGCCCCATGCTGACTGTGGGGCCTGGTTAAGATTCTCTCTCTCCCCCTCCACCCCTCTCCCTTGCTCATGCTCACTCCCTCTCTCTCAAAAATAAATAAAAAATAAAAGGTTGTAAACAAGAACAAAAAATAATATGAGGCCAAGACCATATGTGGCCTGTAAAGTCTACAATATTTGCTATTTGGTCCTTCAAAGTACAATTTTTCCAACCCCTGGTTTAGTGCTCAGTTCTTTTTTTTTTAGTTTATTTATTTTGACAGCAAGAGAGATGTGGTTGGTGGTGGGGGGAGCAGAGAGAGAGGGAGAGAGGGAATCTCAAGCAAGCTCTACATTATCAGCATAGAGCCCGATACGGGGCTTTCGTGAGATCATGACCTGCTGAAATCAGGTGGATTCTTAACACACTGAGCCACCCCTAGTTGACACTAATTCTTAAACGAATACTCTTCTCCCTTTACATTGGATTGCTCCCCCAGAAAACCACTCTTAAGCAAGTATATGTATTCCTTTCTTCATTATTTCACTCAACAAATATTGCTGAGCATGTGTATAACAGGTTCTCTCTCTCTCTCTCTCTCTCTCTCTATATATATATATATATATATATATATATTCACATCTTTTTAAATGTTTATTTATTTTTAATAGAGAGAGAGCATGAGCGGGGAAGGGGCAGACAGAGAGGGAGACACAGAATCCGAAGCAAGCTTCAGGCTTCTAGCTGTCAGCACAGAGCCCAATGCAGGGCTTGAAGTCACAAACT